TAAAAGAATAACAGGAAGAAAGCAAGAAGGAACTAGAAGAAATGAAAAAATATGCTGCTAACTATATCCCTTTTATATTATAAAAACAAAGTGGCCTACATTTTGGTTTACACGTTTACATTTTATGAAATACATACCGTATGTTTTAGAAACCAAGGATAGCCAGAAAATGGCAACAAAATCAGCAAATAAATAGAGAAAAAACAGATAAACTTCTACTATGTCCTCCACTGCCACACACCCTTCTTTCCATGAGTATTTCTTTTTTATAAATAGTCATCTTGCTCAAGGTATCACCTGCTCTTGCTTTTGTATTGCGTAAGGACCACATAGATTTGTGGTTTTTTTCCCTCCTGAACTATGGAAGGATGCCCTGAACAGCCACCCAGAGCTCTGTATAGAGGATATTTCATATTGACCAAGCAGGACTGTGAAGTGAAGAAAACATCTTCCTCCAATCTCTACAGGAGTCCCTCTTGTGCTCATTGCTATTCACATTTCTTAAAAAGCTGCCTTGACAGTTACTTTGTGTTTGGGTGAGATTTTTTCCCTCCTGAACTATGGAAGGATGCCCTGAACAGCCACCCAGAGCTCTGTATAGAGGATATTTCATATTGACCAAGCAGGACTGTGAAGTGAAGAAAACATCTTCCTCCAATCTCTACAGGAGTCCCTCTTGTGCTCATTGCTATTCACATTTCTTAAAAAGCTGCCTTGACAGTTACTTTGTGTTTGGGTGAGAATTGGTTAACTGATGAAAAAAGGAGCCAGTGTTTGGGGTTTACACTTTTGTGCTGTCACTTTGTTAACAGCAGTGAGCAAAAGGTATTCTGTAAACCTTCTTCTTGACTGCTGTCATTGGTGTTATTAATATTCAGGCTGACTGCTCTTTGCTGTGTAAAGCTTGGCATCCTTTTTCCTGCTGGCAATGTGGGCACAATATTGTGCAGCAATATCAGGCCATTTTGTGGTTTTTTGAATCATGGGTACAGAAGCACAGTATCCCACAGAGGTGTTTTTTTTAAAGAACTGAGAGGTGGAAACAAACCATTACTTCAGATTTTTGACATAGGTTTTCCAAACGGGGGATGGTTTTTCTCATAACAGGCATTCCTTGTTTCAGTGGCTACTGGTTCATTACCAGGCACAATTCAAAGTCCTGGTTTTAACCTATAAAGCCCTAAACAATTTGGGTTCACACTAACTGAGGGACTATTTCTCTCCATATCCTCTAGTGTATGGCAGGGTAATATAGATAAGCAGGTTGCTACGAAGAATGTACTTCATGATCACTTGGTATGTAGAAATCTGTATGTAATATATATTGCTATTTTCAGCAGGCTAAGCTACCCTGAGATTAGTTGACAAAATTAATCAAAGAAGGTTTTACTATAATTTATTAAAGTTTTTTCATTTATATGAAAACATTCATATCAGAGCTCTGTCTGCCATTTTCAGCTGAGTTTAAGATACAAATCTAATCTCAGTACCCAGATCACTGTGTATTAAAACTGTGAGATAAAACCAGGCCATAATTTATTTGGAAAAAAATGAATGCAAATATATATATCATATTCATATAGCACAATTATTCACATATTTTATTTTATTTTATTATTCACATATTTAGTCAGGCTAGTAACACACATTATAACTTGGAACTGTAGCCATTTAAAAAGAGCTAACAACTAAAAAGTCCTAACAACAAAGAGAGAGAAATCTCAATTTGTTTAGATTTTTAGTAAGGCCAAGTAAATTCCACAGTGCATCTTATTTTGTAAATAAAATATTAATTAAATACAATTTTTCAGCTTATCTGGAATAAAGTAATGGTACTCTTAAGATGGTTTTAGGCAAGTTTTCTTAGGAATAATAACACAATTCTAAACAGAGATGAAATGTGTTAGTTCATTACGTTTATACAATCTATGCAGTTTTCACTTTCTGAATTAATACACAAACTAAAATTCATCACTGACATTCAACAATGTCCACTCTTTTCTAAATGTTGCAGTGCAGTTCATCCATCAAAACAAGAGAATAAAAAAGGGATAAGTACACACAAAGAGGTATGTTATTCGAAATAATGTATAAAATACCTGAAGGGAAACAATTTGCAAAAATGTATGTGTTAAATAAAAATAAGTACAAAATATGATATGTTGGAAGAAATGTGAATAAAAATGTGTACAAAATTTCATGGTTTTATTTTTACGAATAAAATTCACAAACTGCAGGTTGAAACAAACTTTATGGCTAGAAAAGTGAGAAACAGAGTGAAATCTAAAAAGACTGCTTCATCCGTAGCTCAAAGTGTGTGTTTAAAGACTATGCTTACTCTATCAATTAATTCTTTCATAAAAAAACACTATTAAAATACTAAGAAATATTGATTTAGTGCAACAAAAGTAGAGCTGTATTGACTAACCAAAAGGAACCTTCACATTTTTTCTTATAATGTTGTACCAAAAAACCATAATGGGAACCAGAATGTTCTAGCCAATATTTTTCAATTTGTGATGATAAAGCTGCCTGGTCAACACCGTAGGTCAAAACTGATGAGCCTAACACCAAAATGGTCACCGAATCCTATTTAATTTCAACAGACTCTCCAATTAACACATATAGCACTTTTCCCTCTCACCTGACAATTATTAAATAACCCTGATTCAAAGTCAGCACACCATAGTTTATATTTCACAGAGATGGTTCCAGGAGTTGGGGACAGAGGGTCTGTAATGAAGTTACAGATGAAAAGAGAATGAAACTTCTTCACGAGCAGATCTGTCTTTCCAGGAGGGCAGACAATTCTCACTCTTTGGAATCTGAGATGCAGCAAAAGTCAGTCATGTTGGCAAAGTCTGGTCATGCTAGAGACCAACAGATGATCATGAGAATAAGACACAAAACATGTTACTGTCTGTGACTAGTCATTCTGGGAGCCTGAAATGTTCCCCTGCAACCTGAAAAGGCCTTGGGTTATTATACCTACCCCTAAAAGAGTCGGAAACTATCTTTCTGGCTCCCACACTACCCTTCCACATGAGGGCATTCAACAATCTGGAGTGATGTTTTCAGGTGGTAAAATGGGGAGAATGAAATGGCCAATGGAAAGGTTTTTAAAAAAGTGTGTCACTGGCTGAAAAAAGCATTTAGCCTATTCTGGTAGAACCGCTTGCTCTTTTTCTTTTAATAATAATTTCAGAACCACAGAGCTGGAAAGGATTCTATGGATCACTGAGTACAGCCCATCAAGGACTTAGTTTTACTTAATTTTGTTAACAGATGTTTGCTTGTTCTGGAGCATTTTAGGATCCCACCTGAGAGTAAAAGACATTTTCCTCTTTCTTTCTGTTCTTAACTGTGTTCTTCCTATGTGTTCTGAAATGACACCAGTCCATTTTTATTGACCCAGTATTTGGCTCATGAATTCCTTTGGATGCAGTGCTTGTCATTCAAAATGAAACAAAACAAAGAGACTTTTATTTTTGTTTCTGTCCTCATGAGATTAAAATTATTATTTATTTATATCAACCCTCATATCCAGAGTCTTTCACAAATTTCAGTATGTATATGTGCAAGCTGGCTATGCCTCTTTAATATGTTCAGGACCTAGAACTATGCATTACATTTTCATCACAATCTTTGCTTTAATCTACAACCCACAAGTACCTATCTTTGAAATTCTGTACATCTCTAATCCAGTCTTTAGCTTGTTTCTCCTTTGTTGCAGCACTGAAAAGAAATATGCTTTTTAAATACTTTCAATATTTGTTTAAAAAATATTTTTCATAGGTAGTGTCTGGGAGGCACTATGGCAAGTCCTTAAAGAAATGGGCGTGCCTGACCACCTTATCCATCTTCTGAGAAACCTGTATGTGGGACAGGAAGCAACAGTTAGAACTGGATATGGAACAACTGATTGGTTCAAAATTGGGAAAGGAATACGACAAGGCTGTATATTGTCCCCTGGCTTATTTAATTTATATGCAGAATACATCATGCGGAAGGCTGGACTGGAGGAATCCCAAGCTGGAATTAAGATTGCCGGAAGAAATCTCAACAACCTCCGATATGCAGATGATGCCACTCTGATGGCAGAAAGTGAGGAGGAACTAAAGAATCTTGTAATGAGGGTGAAAGAGGAGAGTGCAAAAAACGGCCTGAAACTCAACATCAAAAAAACTAAGCTCATGGCCACTGGTCCCATCACCTCCTGGCAAATAGAAGGGGAAGATATGGAGGCAGTGACAGATTTTACTTTCTTGGGCTCCATAATCACTGCAGATGGAGACAGCAGCCACAAAATTAAAAGATGCCTGCTTCTTGGGAGGAAAGCGATGACAAACCTTGACAGCGTTTTAAAAAGCAGAGACATCACCTTGCCAACAAAAGTCCGAATAGTCAAAGCTATGGTTTTTCCTGTAGTGATGTATGGAAGTGAGAACTGGACCATAAAGAAAGCTGACCGCCGAAGAATTGATGCCTTTGAATTGTGGTGCTAGAGGAGACTCTTGAGAGTCCCCTGGACTGCAAGGAGAACAAACCTATCAGTTCTAAAGGAAATCAACCCTGAGTGCTCACTGGAAGGACAGATCCTGAAGCTGAGGCTCCAATACTTTGGCCATCTCATGAGAAGAGAGGATTCCCTGGACAAGACCTTAATGTTGGGAAAGTGTGAAGGCAAGAGGAGAAGGGACGACAGAGGATGAGATGGTTGGACAGTGTCACCGAAGCAACCAACATGAATCTGACCCAACTCCAGGAGGCAGTGGAAGATAGGAGGGCCTGGCGTGCTCTGGTCCATGGGGTCACGAAGTGTCGGACATGACTAAACGACTAAACGAAACGAAACGAACAAGTGTCTGGGAAATGTCAGTCCATTTTCCAGCTTTGTAAATTAGCTTTTGATACAATTATATATCACATTGTTATTGTTACCATGATAAAATTTGGCTAATCCCTCTGTTATTCTGTGAAATGCATGAGAGTATAAAATAGTAGCTTATCACCAAATACATTTTATTTCCTGACAGGCTGCTTTGCCTTAAACCAGTTGTGTAAATATTGAGAGTTGACAGTCATATTGTTAAAGGTGCATATGTTGAGTTTCAGGTTGTGGTGAAGTTGTTGAAGCTATGAGAGTCCTGGATGTGTTATGACCCAAAATACGTTAAATCCAGAAATGGCTGGTACAGGATACCATATTTTCAACTGATGATCAGTCCTGTCCATTTTCTCAGAAGTGGTGCCTGAGGGAATAGGGCAATATTTTAGCCTTCCCTCTATAAACATTAAGCGTCATGGTGGGTGACCTTTTGGTCCTTAAGTCTGCCATGCCCCAGGCCACCCCTGGAATGCTGGGCTCAGAAGCAGAGTCCCTTTCCACCACTCAACTTCAGAACAGGAAAATCATGCTGTCGGATCAGAGCACAAGATCCAGCTAGACAGCACTAGACTTCACCCAGGGGCCGACTAACCAAGTGCCTTCTGGAAGTCCAGAAAGCTGGCCTGAAAGTAAAAGCTTCCCAGCACTGCTGGTTCCAGCAACAGATGTTATGTTACATTGCCGATGAACTTGGAAACTCTGCATCATTCTTTCAATGTTTATTTAGCTATGATCCTGTTGTCCATCAGACATTCATATCCGTTTGTAGCAAAGGAAGGAGCCCTCAAATAGCTCAAATGTGGGCAGTAGCTTTCACACAGTATTGGTCCTGGCTCTTCTAAGCTGTATTCATGGACAGTGTACCCTTTTGGATGCATCCTGAAGTCATGCACCAGGAAGAATGGAGTCCTCCAAAGAGCAGAATGGCTTCTGGCAGTACATAAGACCAAATACATGTGTTCCGTTTCAGTGCAGGGTTCACAGCCAGTCAGACGCACAAAAGCCCGTAGCTGAGGGAATGCTTCACTGTAGTGTTGCAATGTTTACCGATGTTCAGTTCCAGAGATCAGGGAATTTTCTGTCTCAACATCAGCTATAAAAATCAAATTAAAAGTCTATTACGTAAGGAAGAACAAGGACCAGTTAGTAACAACATTCATTTAGCGTGGGGATGGGCAAAGTGCAGGCAATGTGATACATGATGCCCTGAGCCCTTTTTGTGCTCCCCAGTGTGATCCCTGTGCTTCCGGATTTCATTTCTTGTTTTAAAGGTAGCACTGATATAAAAATTTGGCAGCAATCTGCTCAATCTTCTGCTTGCTCTTTGCACCCCTTTCCTCCCATTGTTTACTGGCAGAGAAAACCTTTAATTATTCCTAACTACAGTCATTTTTCCAGAGTGCCTTTTAACGCTTGACTTTTTAAAAAAGACACTAGCTTTGTTATTTGAAGGGCAATCGGCTCTTTGCATTGCTGCTTCAACCACCTTAAAGAAATGTTGAGTGCTTATTTCTCAAAGTGGATTTAAATTATTCTATAATTAATTGACTCTGACTAAAACTTCAGGAGTTGGGGAGGGAAATATAAAACTACACACAGAAACACACACACACACATTCTTATAAAACATAATACGATAGGGGAAATATCCCCATAAGCCATATCCTCTTTTGGAGTGCAGACCTGGAGCTTCTGGACTAACAGAAAAGTGATCCATAACTCCATGGAAGTTGCTTATCCTTATTTTTGTGGAAAAGGACAAAAACATGAGCCTTGCCTACAGATGTCATTTCTATCTAGCTGTCATGATGGCATAGCCTAAAACACCTTAACACAAAGCGTATGGTTCACACAAATTATTTTGTTAAAAAAACCTTTGACATGAAAATGGTAGGCTGAAAATGAGAGATGGGCACAAACTGCAGTTTGGCAGTTATGCCCAGTCTGGCACAGGGCCCGCACAGGTGTTCTGCAAGTGCTGTGCACTCCCCTCTCCTTTTTCCTCTGCGTGAGGAGGCATGGCAGGGAAGCCCACTGTACTGTCTTTTGAGTGGGCAGCTGCAGGAGGAGATAGAGGAGGGAAGCGTGCCCTGCAATCAGTGAGTGGGCAAACATGCTGAGGAGGCAGGGAAGTGTGCTTTGGCTGGGGAATGGGCGAGTCCACAGAGGAGGCAGGAGATGGGAGTGTGCAGCACCTGTGAAACACCTGTGCAGGCACTATGCCAGATTGGGCCGAACTGCAATTTCTGCCCATCTCTACTGAAAATCAGTGTACATGTTTGTAAATAAATATATTTTGGTGTGGAATACCACAGGAATGACTCTGATCTATTTAAATTGCGGTTTTGTCACTGGCAGCTAGGGAATCCCACTTTTGGTGATGGTGGGGAAACAGGGCAATGTTAGGGGCTCACAGACCACAAAACTTAGCCCGGAGCATCACATTGTCCACCTATAGCTGTACAGCAATGATGGCTAGTAGCAGGAGCTACTTTTTTAAAAAATGGTTTGAAATGTGATGCTGGAGGAGACCTTTGCAGACACCCTGGACTGCCAGAAAGACGAACTGGTGGGTCCTAGATCAAATTAAGATCAACTGTCTCTCAAGGCAAAAATGTTGGAATAAGGCTGTCTTACTTTGGGCACATGATGACAAGGCAGGATTCTCTGGAAAAGTGGAAGGCAGCAGGAAAAGAGGAAGATCAAATAAAAGATGGATCAACTTCCTAAAGCCTTGCATTTGCAATTGCTGAGCAGGGCTGCTGAGGACAGGACATTTTGGAGATTGCTCATTTATAGGGTCGCCATACGTTGGAGGCGACTTGAGAGCATAGTAAGGACAAAGCAGGATCTACAATAATGATCCACCTACTGGAATGGAGCTTACCCGATCCTGTCATGTAAATTGCTCACATCAGTGGCGTTTTCAAATGTACCATGCCAATTTCTACAAAACTTCCTATCTGATTATCTGTTGTCCAGCAACTAATTTCATCAACATTTCTTGGAGAATGAAGATACTCATTTGTATTGTAAAATGTTGCAAGATGCTCAGCCATCCAGACCAAACCAAGAGGATAGATTTTATTTATATCATGCTTAGAAGAAAATTTTAGTTTAGAGATTTAAATTAGCCATTTGTCAATACCTCACATTAATGGACTGAGGAACAGTTTTCTACTTACCATTGGTGCATACTGCTTCTTCCACACAAACACCTGCTAAAAATAATTTTAAAAATAATAATAAAGCCCAGAAGTGTTTTAAAATATTATTATACTATAATGTGTACATTTAATTGAATGTTTACATGTGGGGTTGCGGAGAGTTTGTTTATCTCCAGAAAGGTACTGGAATGATTGCAGTATATGTAAAATCCTGATGGGAGTAACATTTTGACAGATGAAGTAAGCTTTTTTGTGTAAACATTTCTGGTAGAATAAAAATGCTAAAGTTTACTACTCATCTTTATGTCATCTAATCTCTCCACTTTGCCAAACCACATTAGGTCTGCTATGTGTACACAAGAGCTGAGCAGGACTGTTGAGGACAGGACATTTTGGAGGTCATTCATTCTTAGGGTCACCATACATTGGAGGCAACTTGATGGCATACCGTACCCCTGTACAAGATTCTGTACTTCCACATTCACTGGTATATGTGTATGTATGTAAATCTGTGGTGGATGTGCGTATTAAGGTTCTATATTCTGGTTTGGCATACCCAGTGTGCTGTAGTGGCTAGAATGATGGACTAAAACTCAGCCATGCTCAGCCATGGAAACTTACATTAGTGGCTAGAATGATGGACTAAAACTCAGGAGACCTGGATTTGAATCCATGCTCAGCCATGGAAACTTACAGAGTGGGGAGGAGTGACCCTGATAAAACCTTAAATATCTCACTTACTTTGACAGCCCTATCAATTCTGACTTGATGGCACGGAACACAGATACACATCCTGGATTACAGATCAGGGCTGGCAACGTCAAAACTACAAAATGGTACCAGGAACTGTAGAGCTTTTATACCCTGCAGCAGCCTTTCTCATTCCCAAAAAGCCATCTCTGAGGGCGATGAAACCCCTGAGATTTCATCACCTCAGAGATTTCATCACCCAGGTACAAAAACTGGTGATGTCTTTGGTATATACAGACAGCCTTTAAGTGTAAACAGCACATTTTTGGACTCCAGACTAGAAGTCTAGCATTCAGATGTGTACAAAATAAGGAATAACGATATTTAGACATATTGATGAATAAAATCAGGGGTGGGGACTTCAGTCACAGGACTTGCTGTCAAGTAGGACTTAAATCACACTGGTGACTCAACTCAGGTTTTTCCCCCCAGTGACTCGGAGTTGACTTGTGACTCAGAATCCACCCACTCCTCACTTTTTTCCTTCCTTATTTTTACTAGGGACTCAGACATGGGGCTTAGGACTCCGGACTTGGCCCCAAAGACTTGGACTCAGACTTGGGGCTCAGACCCCAAAGACTTGCCAATATCCCTGATTAAAACACTGCGCTGCAATTCAGAAAAATCCATGGTCAGGCTGGGACAACTTTTAGTAACAGAGGCCAGGACTCTTTTTCTGGACCTTGCTGTTTCCGTCAGAAGTGGCAACACTTCCTGTCTGTCTCTTCTGCAACTCTCCATGTATCCTAAGAACATTCTGATGTCATAGGGGGCTTCAGCAAGATGCAGAGGGAAAAAAAAAGTCCCAGTTTTACTGGTACTGGATATGAAAGAACACCACTAGGTATGGAAATGCACCACTGGATCCTTCCCAAAAGAACTAGAGTAAGTACTGATGAAGTGGACTTCTCCAGGAAATCTCACATTAAAGAATATAAAAGTTAGTCTTTAAAGTGCCACCATGTTTTGTTTTGTTTTTACTCTTTATTTTTATTTCATTGTCCCCTAGAGTAAGTATATTATTGCTTTATGGGGTTAGAGTACATTCTGGTGACCCTGTGAATTACAGTAATGCTATCGGCAATCAAGTATTAGGTCTCCATTATGCTAGACATTATTGACATTCAGGCTGCCATACTGTTTAATTACTTGGGAGCAAACCCCACTGATGATAAGATCGACATCTGAGTTGCTTTTGGAATGCCGTGGTGAGAGAAGCAACTATCTTGAGTTTCATGAAACTACCTATAAAGTGCTTATAATCAATATGCTAATGATACCGAAAGAGAATTTTTGAAAATAAAGCAAGCAAAACAAACATGTGCCCGTGTATGTGTTTGCAAGACAAGTGAGAGCTTGCATTAATTAGAATATGGGACTTATTCTCTGCATTCTTGGCCAATGCTTGTGTTGCAATTTCCTTTTCATTTGACTATGCCTTGCTGAAGCCAATGTTGCTATGACTGCAGGCAAGACATCAGATTTTTTTAAAAAAATAAATAAATAAATATCAACAGATGCTAAAAGGGCACATACTGAGTTTTGGAGCCAACAGCTATTCTTGTCAACTTAAACACAATCCATCTGCATGCCTGAAGGCAGCACAAAATCTAAGATGACACTAGTAAAAAAAAATCCTCTTCCTCTTTAGACACTGAAACTGCCTGAACCCTTCCTGCCTGATAATGATTTCAGGAGAGGTGGGCCAGGAATAGCTGTGGGGGCCCGCCTTCCCTAACCTCAGGTGTACTTGCATCCACTGATGAGCCAGGACAGGCTGAGCAGCCGTATTTCCTCACCGGTGCAGTATCTGTGAAAAGATCATTCTAGGGGGATGTATACTTGGCCTGATGTGCTCCTTCAGCTAACATCTTCATGAGAAGTTTCTCCTGCCCACTTTCTTGTTTTACAAAGAAACATGTCGCCTCCAGGGAACAGTCCCTCCCCCCCCATCGTCATCTGCCTTATTTGCCAGGTGGGAAACCGCCTATTCTTTGCTGATGTTCCCACCAGCACGCAGCCAGTTTTGCCACTGCTACTATGGCTGTTGCTTCCGGCAACTGCCTCCCCCGCCCCATATTTTTAAGCCAGACTCTCAAACACACACACACACACACACACACACACAAGCAGCAAAATTACAGAGGACTAACTTGGCTTTCTGAAGCAGCAAATATATATATATTGCTGCTTCAGAAAGCCAAGTTAGTCCTCTGTAATTCTGTGATGAACTGCAATTGCTCCCACACATTACAGACCTCCTGCAATGGATGTCTTGCTTACTTACCAGCATATGTTCTTCCAGGACAAAGCCTTTTTTCCCAGCAGATGTACAGAATGACTGGAAGAATCAGAAGGAGCGCAAGAGTGCTCAGAATGGCAGGTCTGTGAGCTGGGCTGGCACTGAGTGCAGAGTTATTTACAGAGCCTCCAGAGCTGTTTGTTTCAACTGCATAGAAAGAGGGGAGGATGGGGGGGGGAGAGATCCTGTAACATTGCCTTCAGTCAGAACTGGGCTGCATATAACACATAGTTGTCTTTATGTTTGAAAATTCAATTTCAATAAACAAATAATAAAAATTCCCAAGAATAATCTCTTAGTCAACAACAACAGACTAGTATCTTCTTTCTTTGCAGAAAAGAAGAGAAATACCAGTTATCCAGAGAGTTCATGTAAGAATATTTCAGTTAATTCCCCAGGTTTCACAGTACCTTGCAAATTACTGTATTTTTCCGTGTATAAGATGGTCCATATATAAGACTCCCTCCCCTCCACTTTTCTAACACAAAATTTCTTTCTTCACAAGAAAGTGATCCCTCCTTACTTCCATGTATAAGACAACCCTCAATTTTTAATCTAAAGATTTTAGATAAAAGTATCATCTTATGCACAGAAAATTCTGGTGCCTTGTTTCCCAAAAATAAGACCTAACCTGAAAATAAGCCCTAGTATGATTTTTTAGGATGCTCGTAATATAAGCCCTACCCCCAAAATAAGGCCCAGTGAAGTGAAAGCCCGCCCTCCACCATGGTGCAGCAACCAGAAGATGACATGGCTGTGTCTGGCTGTGTACATGAACAAAAATAAAACATCCCCTGACAATAAGCCCTAATGCATTTTTGGAGAAAAATTAATATAAGACCCTGTCTTATTTTCGGGGAAACACGGTATCAACAAGACAAGATCTTAAAGTCTGGACCATGAACAATATTCTGCATATTTGATGCAACAATAGAATTAGATGCACACACACTCATTGACTTAGGTATCTGGCTGCAGAGCCAGAAGTTGGGAGCTCCCCATTATGCATCCTAGAAGAGTTAGCCTGTGTGTCATTGGGCAAGCTGCACAGTCCCAGGGCTCCCCCAGAAGGTGGGAATGGTAAATCATTTCTGAATATTCTCTACCTGGAAAACTCTGAAAAGGGTCTCCATAAGTCAAAATTGACTTGATGGGACACAGCTATTATTATTATTATTATTGTACCATACATACCCATACTTAGACAGCCCATGTATTTAAAAAATCAGCAACATATTTCTGTCTTTCATTACAAACATATTTTTGTACATGCAAAACTGTTTAGAGATAACATATAAGGCTAAACTTACAGATAGTAGTGATACTTTGGAGCAGTCGCACATTTTCAATGGTGCATTCTAACTTTATATTAGAAGCTGATTTAATTTTAATTGTACTGGAAATACTGAAAGTCCCATCTGGCTCTGAAGTAGCAGGCTGTTCAGTGATATTGTAGAGGCTGTTGTCCATCGGAATTGTCCAATGAAGTTTCGGTTCTGGAAATCCATGGCTAGAATTGCAAGTAAATGTCATTTCATTCCCAAGCCTTGTTATGGTTGGTTTGCTGTAGTTTGCTAGGGGGAAAAAAAGGTGATATACGTAGTCTTTTGACAATGGCGTTTTCATAGTCACTTTTGGTAGTGTTGTGGTTGTAAGAGGCTTGTGGGAAGGAATGTGAAAACATGGTACATCTAACAAACTAAGAAAGGTATTAGTAGCAAGCTAGTACAGAAACTATTGGGTCCCTCTTCATCAGTCCCTTGCACGGCTATCAGATGATGGATTTTGGCCACTGGCAAGTCAGACTGAGTCCACAGTTGCAGGTTCCTCTCCCATGGATTACACCAGTACATGAGTTGTGCCCAACATCTTATGCCAGAAGTCTCGGATTTGTTGACAAACAATAACACAAGAAGCAATGCAAAAAAGGAGGGAAGGTGTTGTGAGGAGTGAACTATCCCCCACTTTCCAAAAGTAGGAAATAGCTTTATACTAGGTCATAATTTTGCTTTATCTAGTTCAGTACTGTCAACTCTGCTTAACAAGGTCTCAGACACAGGTTTTCCTCATTAGCTGTTACCTGATGCTTTTTGGTAGAGAACTTCTGGCTTTCTGGATACAAAGCATTTAATTGACTAGTAGGTGGGCTACTTCTATGTCCCACAGGCATAATGTATCCCCTAATTTTTTAATTTAATTTTAAAAAGGTTTTGGCCCCAAAGTCCCCCAGTGCCTTTTAGGGAGCATGGAGGGGCATTTCACCAGGTTCCAGAGACCCTCCAACATCCCCCGAAAACATTTTAAATTTTAAAAGTCTGTAGGGGTATATTAAAAGATTCAAGGGATTTCAATTTAACCTCCCCTTTTTCAGTCGAATGAGTTTTTCAGCTAACAACAACAAAATTGAACTAGCTATAAATGTATAGATTTATGTTTTGGGGCTACAACTCTCAGAATTCTTCTCACAGCAATCTGCTAATTTCTAGTACCAATCTGTATCATACATAACCACTGCATTTTAAGGACAGACAGACAGATAGATAATGAAACAAGTTTTCAAATTAACTCCTTTGGCCAAGGAACACCCCCTTTACCAGCATTCTGGAACGTGACCCTTAGGCTGCCAAAGAATCTGAAAAATGCTCACTCACTCCTGCATTAAGATGTGGTCTTGGACTCTCTAATCATTTGAGTCTCCCTTCCAGACTAATCCCATTATTTCCATGGCCTGCCCATGAAAGGTTCTTGTTGTTGTTTAGTCATTAAGTTGTGTCTGACTCTTCATGACCCCATGGACCAGAGCACGCCAGGCCCTCCTGTCTTCCACTGCCTCCCGGAGTGTGGTCAAAGTCATGTTGGTCGCTTCAATGACACTCTCCAACCACCTCGTCCCCTGTGGTCCCCTTCTCCTCTTGCCTTCCCTCTTGCCCAACACCAGGGTCTTTTCCAGGGACTCTTCTCTTCTCATGAGATGGCCAAAGTATTTGAGCCTCAGCTTCAGGATCTGTCCTTCCAGTGAGCACTCAGGGTTGATTTCCTTTAGAATAGATAGGTTTGTTCTCCTTGCATTCCAGGGGATTCTCAAGAGTCTCCTCCAGCACCACAATGAAAGGTATCAATCAGCAAAGACTCAAGCTCTCTCCTGTGAGGCTTGCAGGGATGACTCCTCCCCAGTGTCACTGCATGGTGACATGGTATAGACTGTAAAGGTGAAGGGAACACTCCCTGATGCTATCTAGAGCTTCAACAGAGCCCTTTTGTTATTCAAACGACTTTGTGCAAGAGCCAGGTCCTTGGAGTTACATGGGGGGGGGGAGGGAACAATGGGCAAAAGTACAGCAAGACTCTGGAATGCATACATGTGGTTGCTTGCAAGAATTCAGTTTTTGCTGTGCTTCTTTTTAGTCCCAATGTCCACAGAATCAAGAAACTCCAGGTAAGTTTCAAACAGGATTTCTCAATGCATTGTGAAGCCAAAAGTGGCCCAAAGATTCCCTGTTTATTTTCCAGGATCCAAAGGGCATAGCTTTCATCTTGGTTTGTCCCGGTTATTGTCCTGTGCTATTATTATTCTCACTGTTAAGAAAAGTGTTGCAGGGTATGATCAAAATATCCACAGCAGTAACATTTTAAACCTGGGGAAAAACTGAATGCAACACACCCTTCCCATGGAAGGTGTGTGTGTGTGTGTGTGTGTGTGTGTGTGTGTGTGTGTGTGTGTGTGTGTGTGTGTGTGTTTGTGTGTGTGCGTGTGCGTGTGCGTGTGCGTGTGCACGCGCGTGTGTGCGTGTGTGTGTACATGTGTGTGTGTGTGTAATGCCATGCTTTGGCTGATGTGGTACAAAAACATTTCTCAATAGTTATGAATTAAAAGGATACATACAGAACACTAATGATTGTCCGAACATGTTTTCCCGTCCTCTATCACTCTCTGGCACCAATAAAGCTTTACATAGGAAAAGCTCATCTGGAGTTTATAAACATTTACTGAGAAAAGAAAGTGCTTACCTGCCACTTTGAGGGCTGTGCTTGCCTTATGATCCAATTCAAACTCCATTGTTTTATTTCTCTGCACAACACATTCATAAGTGCCCTCATCTCCAGGAGTGACATTCCATATTTCCAGAGAAAAGGTTTCGTTATTAAACAGAGTCCTGCTTCTGAATTCTTCACAGTATTTCGGTGCCTTCTCACGCTTATTAGGAAAATGGGCATTGACAAGGCAAGACTTACTATTTGCTTGCCATAGTACTCGAAGTTTATCTAATGACTTTTCGTCAGCATAACGACATTCCAGTTCAACACTACTTCCTAGTATGCCAATAACTTCATTTTCATTGGCTGTAAAAAGAAAAACAGGACATAAATCACTGAAGAAACACACTGAAGTATCTAAATTAATATCACAGGGGCTCCATTTCCATCCATTTTCACTGAAAATTTTCACTGCTGGTGACAATGAGGAAACTGTGATAAAATATGACAGTAAACCCTAACACCCTCCATAGTAACAGGACTGAAAAGTCATAATTTTTATACTGTACATATTTAGAAGGGATGTCTGATTCTCCTCTGAATAAGAGCAGGCAAGACAGCTTTCTTTCCAACATTTTAGATTCATCAGGAACTTACAACTTAGGAACTCAAGAGCAAGAAACTTAAAAAAGTGATGCAAAATTAATTAATAATTGATTATATGCTGTTGATTCCAATTTATGGCAACTCTTTCCAGGTTTTACTATGTACGGGGTGCTCAGAAATGGTTTACCATCCTCTTCTACTGAGGGCGCTCTAGGACTGTAGTTTGTCCAACGCTACATAGGCTGGCTTTTGCCCCCACAAAGCACAGTGGGGAATCAAACCTCGGCACTCTGGCTCTGCAGTCCAGTATCCAACTCACCCAACTCACTGAGTTATTCAGCCCACTGCAAAATATTGCAGGATACAGATGTGATCAGATGGTGATAAAGGATCGTGGTTGATTGTGCTGGAAAGAGTTGCTTTGCTGGGAGTAATCTCCCTTAAAGCAACCCCTCCGTGAGTATAAGAATTGCTCCAGCTCAGCTCTGAAATAGTCATTCTGCCTATGGACTAAAAAAGGTCCAGCTATTTCCTTTATGTTATCTGATCACTTGAAAACAGCTTACGGAAGTGGTCCAAAATGCAAACTATTTGTCCATCTCATCACATCCTCTTTTTTTTGTTGTTTAATCATTAAGTTGTGTCCGAGTCTTCGTGACCCCATGGACCAGAGCAC